TAAATGTGCAGAATGGTTCGGAATCTATTAGAAAGTATTATCGAAAGGTGACAGTGATGAAAATTGTATAGCCGAATTAGATGTTGCACTATCGGAAATATTTATTTTTAAATGCTAAAGATGGAACATTGAAGAAGGAACGAATAACAATTGGTAATGTTGCCCTTAGGCTCATTTTAAGAGACTAATATGTTAAGGGAGAATCAAAGTTGTTACATGTGGTGAGGGGCAAATCCAAATGGATTGGAGGAAATGTTAATTAAATAAATTGAAATAAATAAGGAACAAATGGAAATGAAGTCAAAAGTTAAAAAAAACGAAGTCAAAAAATTACATGAGCGAGAAAAATCAATTCTTCAAAAATTTTAACAACCTTAAAGAAATATTACCGCGTGAGTTATGTCGGACTAAAAAATTGAATAATTGTCAGCTGATGACAGATGTCACAACAATGACAACACGATCGGTCATTTTGTAATCAATTCCGGGAGATTGATCAGTGTAATCAAGTTTGCAATAATTGAAAATATGCAAATCAAAGGCGAAAAGGATAACTTATCAATAGAAAGCACAAAAGATGATTTCTAATCAACACATTATAAATCGATCAAAGAACTGGCGTTGTAATTAACATGTCTCTGTATGGAAATTGATATTATAATTACATCTCAGTGAACAAAAAAACGAATGGATTTCAAACAAATGGCAATTTCCGCTTAACTGTAACAGTGCTTTGCACAGTTATCTCTTCTTTTAATTTCAAAAGCAATAAATTTTGAAAAGTTTTTATCATCTAACAATCATAATGGCGGTGATAAGATTGCAGATTGAAAATTTAATAAAACTTTGCTTCGTAAACTTTTCCATATCTCACATAAATTCCATTGCATGTTGCCTTTACCCTCCTGCTGCTGCTCCCATATCTCCCTCCTCTCCCTGCGTTCCTATTAAACCTTTCGGTCCTTGCGGCCCCGGCTCTCCCTTATAGCCTTGACTACCTTGTCGCCCTGGCGGTCCTGGTCTTCCAGGGAATCCTTTCGGACCTCTTGGGCCTTTCAATCCCGGCTCTCCTCGACTTCCATCACGTCCATCTCGTCCTGGTGGCCCCATACGTCTTTCCATCCGTGAATTGCATGCCTGAAAATAAAATTCGTGATGTTTGGTGCAACTTATATTGAAATATAATTTTTCCTTTAGAAGCAGTTGGAGAACTTACTTGAGCCAAGAAAACAGCGCAAATGACCAATGTGAAAGTACCCAAAAGATGCATTGGTAATCTGAAATTGATTTTGTGCACAGTGGCTAAAATTTCCTAAATTTTCTTTAAAAATTTTAATTTGTTGACATTTTGTGAGATGAATAGATATTTTAAAAATTCAAAAGAGCTGTTTACGTCTCTTTAGATGGTCACTCCAAGAAGAAATCTTCCATA